GGGGGATTTGGGGGAATTTTGGGGGGTTTGGTTTTTTTGGGGGGATTTTTTAGGATTTTGGGGATGGTTTTTTGAGGGATTTGGGGGGATTTGGGGTTTTTTTGTGGAGATTTTGGGGTTTTTTGTGGGGATTTTGGGGCTGTTTTGCAGCTCAGGGGTTTCAGGGGGTTTTTGGGGTGGTTTTGGGGTGGTTTTGGGATATTTTGGGGTTTTTTGGGGACCCCCTCACCACTCAGCAGGGCCCAGTGGGCGCGGTGGCCCCAGGGGGAATTTTTGGGGTTTTCTGTGGGGATTTTGGGTTTTTTTGTGGGGATTTTAGGTTTTTTTGTGGGGATTTTGGGGATTTTTGTGGGGATTTTGGGGCTGTTTTGGGGCTCAGGGGTTTCAGGGGGTTTTTGGAGTGATTTTTGGGGGGATTTTGGGGTTTTGGGGACCCCCTCACGGTTCAGCAGGGCCCAGTGGGCGCGGTGGCCCCAGGGGGAATTTTTGGGGTTTTTTGTGGGGATTTTGGGTTTTTTTGTGGGGATTTTGGGGTTTTTTGTGGGGATTTTGGGGCTGTTTTGGGGCTCAGGGGTTTCAGGGGGTTTTTGGGGTAGTTTTGGGGGGATTTTGGGATATTTTGGGGTTTTGGGGACCCCCTCACCGTTCAGCAGGGCCCAGTGGGCGCGGTGGCCCCAGGGGGAATTTTTGGGGTTTTTTGTGGGGATTTTGGGGCTGTTTTGGGGCTCAGGGGTTTCAGGGGGTTTTTGGGGTGGTTTTGGGGGGATTTTGGGATATTTTGGGGTTTTGGGGACCCCCTCACCGTTCAGCAGGGCCCAGTGGGCGCGGTGGCCGCGCCGGCAGCACGGGGCGTGGTTGCTGTCCCCGTCGTAGCTGGGGGGGTCAAGGAACCCCAACAGACCCAAAAAACCCCAAAAAACAATCCCAGAACCCCCCCAAAAAATCCCTGACCCCAAAATCCCAAAGGGACCCAAAAAAACCCAAAGGGACCCCAAAAAAACAACCCCAGACCCCCCCAAAAAATTCCTGACCCCAAAAACCCAAAGGGACCCCAAAAAAACCAAAGGGACCCCAAAAAACAACCCCAGACCCCCCAAAAAATTCCTGACCCCAAAAAAACAACCCCTGACCCCAAAAAACCAATCCCAGACCCAAACCTCAAAGGTGATCCCAAAAAACAAATTCTAGACCCAAAAAACCCATCCCAGACCCCCCAAAAAAACAAAAGGGGACCCCAAAAATATCAAAGGGAACCCCAGAAAACCAATCCCAGACCCCAAAAACCAATCCCAGACCCAAACCTGAAAGGTGACCCCAAAAAAACAATTCCAGACCCCAAAAAAACGATCCCTGACCCCAAAATCCCAAAGGGGACCCCAAAAACCCCAAAAGGATACGGGACGAGCAGGGGCTGCCCCAAACCCAAACCCTGACCCCAAAGGTGACCCCAAACCCCAAAGGTGACCCCAAAACCCCACAGGTGACCCCAAAATCCCACAGGTGACCCCAAAATCCCACAGGTGACCCCAAAGGTGACCCCAAAACCTCAAAGGTGACCCCAAAATCCCAAAGGTGACCCCAAAGGTGACCCCAAAACCCCAAACCCTGACCCCAAAATCCCAAAGGTGACCCCAAAATCCCAAAGGTGACCCCAAAGGTGACCCCAAAACCCAAACCCTGACCCCAAAATCCCAAAGGTGACCCCAAAATCCCAAAGGTGACCCCAAAGGTGACCCCAAAACCTCAAAGGTGACCCCAAACCCCACAGGTGACCCCACAGGTGACCCCAAAGCTGACCCCAGGGCCCAAAGGATACGGGACGAGCAGGGGCTGCCCCAAACCCTGACCCCAAACCCCAGAGGTGACCCCAAAACCTCAAAGGTGACCCCAAACCCCACAGGTGACCCCACAGGTGACCCCAAAGGTGACCCCAGGGCCCAAAGGATACGGGACGAGCAGGGGCTGCCCCAAACCCCAAACCTGACCCCAAAGGTGACCCCAAAATCCCAAATGTGACCCCAAACCTGACCCCAAAGCCCAAAGGTGACCCCAAAACCCCAAAGGTGACCCCAAAATCCCAGAGGTGAGCCCAAAATCCCAGAGGTGAGCCCAAAGCTGACCCCACAGCCCAAAGGATACGGGACGAGCAGGGGCTGCCCCAATCCCCAAACCTGACCCCAAAACCCCAAAGGTGACCCCAAACCCCACAGGTGACCCCACAGGTGACCCCAAAGCCCAAAGGTGACCCCAAACCTGACCCCAAAGCCCAAACCTGACCCCAAAACCCCAAACCTGACCCCACAGCCCAAAGGATAGGGGACGAGCAGGGGCTGCCCCAAACCCTGACCCCAGACCCCAAACCTGACCCCAAAAACCCCAAACCTGACCCCAAAGGTGACCCCAAAGGTGACCCCAAAACCCCAAAGGTGACCCCAAAGCTGACCCCAGGGCCCAAAGGATACGGGACGAGCAGGGGCTGCCCCCCCAGGAGGTGCCGCAGGATCCGGGCCCGGTTGGGCCCCCCCAGCCCCCCCTGGAGCAGCTCGGCCCGGCACGGCAGCAGCTCCTGGGCCAGCGAGGCCAGCTGGGCAGCTGGGCAGGCAGGCAACAGGTCCGGAAACGTCCCGGAACGTCCCGGGAACATCCCGGAAATGTCCCCGGAAATGTCCCGGAAATGTCCCGGAAACATCCCGGGAACATCCCAGAAACGTCCCGGAAACGTCCCGGAAACATCCCGGAACCGTCCCGGAAACATCCCGGAAATGTCCCGGAAACATCCCGGAAACGTCCCGGAAACATCCCCGGAAACATCCCGGAAACGTCACAAAAACATCCCGGAAACGTCCCGGAAACGTCCCGGAAACATCCCGGAAACGTCCCGGAAACGTCCCGGAAACGTCACAAAAACATCCCGGAAACGTCCCGGAAACGTCCCGGGAACGTCCCGGAAACGTCCCGGAAACGTCCCGGAAACATCCCGGAAACGTCCCGGAAACGTCCCGGAAACATCCCGGAAACGTCCCGGAAACATCCCGGAAACGTCCCGGAAACGTCCCGGAAACATCCCGGAAACGTCCCGGAAACGTCCCGGAAACATCCCGGAAATGTCCCGGAAACGTCCCGAAATCATTCCAAAATCGTCCCAAAAACGTCCCGGAAACATCCCAGAAACGTCCCGGAAATGTCCCGAAATCATCCCGAAATCATTCCAAAATCGTCCCCAAAACGTCCCCAAAACGTCCCAGAAACGTCCCGGAAACATCCCGAAATCATCCCGAAAACATCCCGAAAACGTCCCGAAATCATCCCAAAATCCTCCCAAAAACGTCCCGAAAACGTCCCGAAAACGTCCCGAAAATGTCCCAAAGTCATCCCGAAAATGTCCCGAAAGCATCCCAAAATCATCCCGAAAATGTCCCCAAAACGTCCCAAAAACATCCCAAAATCATCCCGAAAACGTCCTGAAAATGTCCCCAAAACATCCCAAAACCGTCCCAAAACCATCCCAAAACTGTCCCAAAACTGTACCAAAACCATCCCAAATACATCCCCAAATAATCCCAAAACTGTCCCAAAATCATCCCGAAAACAGCCTGAAAACATCCCAAAACCATCCCAAAATCATCCTGAAACCGTCCCAAAACCATCCCAAAATCATCCCCAAAACGTCCCGAAATCATCCCCAAATCATCCCAAAAACATCTCAAAAAATACCCCAAAATAATCCCAAAATGTCCCCAAATCATCCCAAAAACATCCCAAAACTGTCCCAAAACCATCCCAAAATCATCCCGAAACCAGCCTGAAATAATCCCAAAATCATCCCAAAATGTCACCA